GTAACTATAAAAATAAAAACTTCAACTTATATTATAGATACAGAGGTCTTAGAAGAACTTTTATTAAACTCTTGGTAGCCTGAATTTTTGTTTGTTTGTTGCTAAGCACAAAGAACAAAATGGGCTATTTGTGCATTGCTCATCATGGGTATAAAACCCTGATTTTTAGCATTATAAGCAATAAGCCCTCAGACTTATTGCTAAGCCACTAAGAGACCCTGAATTTGGTTGAGCCTTTACATTGTATATACATAATCTTACATACCTGTACATTAATGAATGTCAAAGCTGGAACAGCTAAGGTTTGGTTTGATTGTTTGGTGTTTTTTGGCACAAAGCAACTAGGCTATCTGCACCAAACAACCAGTAAAAACCGCAAAAGTAAAATTAATATAAAATGTAAAAATAAATTGAGTTAAAACTAAACAATGTCCAAAATTCAGGTAAAAGATTTAAATAGAATTAAAAAGGCCAATGGCTAATAACATTTAAAAATACTATCAAGTTGGACAGTGTCACCATCACCAATGACATCATCCAATATCAGGGCTAAACCCGTAGAAAACATGTTTCTAAAATGGTGCCGTCACTCAGAATAATAACGACGGCATGACAGTAAAATGTGGGCTATTGTGACTTGAGTGTCATAAGGGCCACACACACTGGGGGATCAGTTTCAGATAAAAGAAAATGATGAGTTAAAAAACTGTGACCAATGCACAGCCTAGCCAGGAAAAATTCTTCCTTCTGATCCTTATAGAAACAAGACGGCCAAAAAACAACAGAAAATTTGATCTGGAAAAGCTTCTTATGACATTGCTCACTTCAAGTCGTGTGCCAACTGGCAAAAAGCTGAGCCTTCAATACAGGACAGTAGTCCATATACTGGATAGGCACAGCTGTGATGGCACAAGAGCAGAAGGACTTAATTGCAGTGTCAGCGAGCTTGTTCCTGCAATACTAATGGAAGATAGAGAAAAATGGGCCAGCCTTTGTTGAATATCGATGGTGAAAAGTAAAGTTAAGCGATTCCAGGGCCAATAAGGGGCTAAGAGAGTCAGTGTAAATAGTACAATCAGTGTACTGCATAGCTTCTACATGATCCAGGACAAGAGAAATGGCATACAACTCGAAAGTGAACACAGAAATTGTAGAGGGGATCCTACGAGCAACTACCGAGCCACAGAAAACAATGGCAGAACCTACAGAGTCACCTAATTTGAACCATCTGTGTAAATGGGAATAGAAAAATGGTTCGAAAGATGTTCAGTAAAGAGAAGACGATACTTCCATTTGGGAGTATCCACCTTCCTCAGATGATTCAAGGAAAGGACATATATGGGGATGGTAATAAGCCATGGTGGAATGGGGTGATTATTGGGGACAGCAACGTCATCCAATGTCAGACCCAATTCATCCAGTTGCACCTGGATACGAAGGCTAAAAGAAGAAATTTCAGACCATCTATTCTGAAAGAGCATGGCCCACTGAGGAAGAAAGACACAACCCAAAGTGGGATGCTGTAGTAAGGATCAAAGCTTGGTAGCATACTGTAGAGAAAGTTGTAAACAGCAGAGGTGAAGAGGAGGTTCATGGAACTCTGTGTACAAACTCTGGACTGGAGAAGTGTGGAAAGCCCATGTGCAGAGCTGAAGTCCCAAACGGTGAATGGGGTCCAGGATCTTCAAGGCCGAGGTCCTGGCAGAACCATAAACCAGAGACCCATAGTCCAGTTTGGAGCAAATGAGGGCACGATAGGTCTTGAGCATAGAACACCAATCTGATCCCCAAGATGTGGAAGAGAGGACACAGAGGATGTTCAATGCCCTTGTACAATTGACATTTAGCTGCTTTACATGATGAATGAAAGTAAGCTTACAGTCAAAGATAAACCCCAAAAGCTTTGCCTCAGGAACCACAGGAAGAATAACATCACCAAGACAGAGCTGGGGTTTGGGGTGTAGGCCCTGCTGGTGGCAAAAATGTATGCAAACAGTATTGGAAAAAGAAAAGGTAAAACCATTTGCTGTGTCCTCTTCAACAAGCAATTGAGGGCAGTCTCAAGCTGTGGCTCAATAAACCTCATGTTCGAGATGTGAAGTCGTCGACATAGAGCCTGTTTGCAACAGTAGGAGGAAGTTGTGTATTGATAGCATTAATCTTGATACTGAAAAGTGTGATCCTCAAGACACAGCACTGAGGGACTCCAAGTTCCCGTGTAAAAGAACAGGTAAGAGTCGAACCCACACGAACTTGGAATCGCTTGTCCAGTAAAAAGTTCTAAATAAAAATGGGTAAATGGCCACGCAACCCACAAAATGCCGTACCTCCACATAGTGTCGTAAGCCTTTTCAAAGTCAAAGAACATCGAGACAAGATGCTCTCTCTTGGGGAAGGCTTCCCTGATCGAGGTTTCAAGTCGAATCAGGTGGTCTACAGTGGATTGCTGTTGATGGAACCCACATTAGGTGAGTGAGAGGAAGTTGTTTGATTTTTTGAACCAAATAAGATGTGCATTAATCTTCCTTGTTAAGACCTTACAGAGACAACTAGTCAAAGCAATTGGATGATAATTAGAAGGAATCTTTGGATCATTCCAAGGCTTAGAGAAAGGGAAGAAAATAGCCTGTCACCAAGCATCAGGAAAACATTTTCCTGTCAGATTCGGTTCAAAACAACCAGAAGAATAGCAAGAGAGGCAGGAGAAAGATGGCACAACATCTCATAGTGAACATCATCAGGTCCAACCAATGTACTGCCAGATCGATGAAGAGCAAGT